CCCCCGCCCCCGCCCCCGCCTCCGCCTCCCGCGTCCTTCGGCCCCCACATCCGCCGCCGCGCGGCCCAGGCTGCGGGCCGACATTTTTCGGGGGCTGCGCGCCCCTGTCAGGGGCATCCTGTTGTATGGGCCGCCTGGCAACGGCAAGACGATGCTTGCAAAGGTGTGCAGATGGGTGTGGATGTGTTGTGGCGGGGCCCTCGCGGTGCAGGGCTGTGTCGCTGATATTGAGTGTGTGGGTGTGAAAAGGGATGGAGGGTTCGCGTCGCAGGCGCCGCGGAAGGCGGCTGCTTGCGCGCAGACTGCGGACAGAGGCACGGCGGGCGGCCTCACAAGGGCGGACAGCCTCTGCACGCGGGCAGCGGCGCGCCCGGGGCCTGCGGGTCGCTGACCAAGCGCGGGCGGTGCCGCGGCGTTTCGATTGCGCCGACGACGCGGACGGCGCTCGTCGCGTGCCCTCACGCGCAGGCGCTGGCGGCGGAGAGCCGGGCCACGTTTTTCAACATCTCAGCGGCCAGCCTGACCTCGAAATGGGTCGGGGAGGGCGAGAAGCTGGTGAGCAGCTGCGACGCGCACGGCGGGCGGCGCGGCACGCCTGCCCGGCGAGAGCGCAGGGGCCCGGCAGCGGATGGGAGTTGGGATCTGAGGTTTCGGGTTGTGATGGGGCTGCGGTTCTGTGCCTCATCTCCCTAGCAGCACGCTGGCCCGCGTTTGCGCGCGTCAAAGCGCTGCCCCATGCATTCGCACCCATTTAGAGGCCGGCTGCGCACTCCTGCGCACTTACGCCTGACGCTGCACCCCTAGAGCCTCAGGTTGCACGCGTCGCGCCTCATGCCTCCCGCGTCGCGCAGCGCGCAGCGCGCCTCGCGCGTCGAGCCTCACGCCCCCCCCCACCCCCCATTGCGGCCCCGCAGGTGCGGGAGCTGTTCGCGATCGCGGCGGAGGCGGCGCCCTCCATCGTGTTTATCGACGAGATCGACAGCCTGCTCAGCGCCAGGGGGCAGGGCGAGCACGACGCGGCGCGGCGGCTGAAAACGGAATTCCTAGTGCAGGTGTGCGCGCGGGGCCAGAGCCACCCTCTGGTATTGAGTTGTACAGTTTGTGAGTGTTTTCCGGCCTGCATCGGACAATTCGCACGATTCTGTGAGCCCACCTGTCTGAATTTTTGATGTTCAATCTGCGGTTTGCGCACAACGGCCGGACTCGCCTGACCAACCGCACCTCACCGCGTGCCCGCCCTGCGCCCGGCGGCGCGCCGCCCCCAGTTCGACGGCGTCGCGACCGGCGACGCGCCGGTGGTCGTCATCGGCGCCACCAACCGCCCCGCTGAGCTGGACGATGCCGTTCGGCGGCGCCTGGTGAAGCGCATATACATACCGCTGCCAGACGAGGAGGGCCGCGCCGCGATCCTGGGCCACTTGCTGGGCCGGGACGCGTCCGCGGCGCTCGGGCCGAAGGACGTCGCGTGGGTGGTGCGGGCGACAGACGGGTACAGCGCGTCGGACCTTACGGCGCTGTGCCGCGAGGCGGCGCTCGGGCCCGTGCGGGAGCTCGGGGCGGCGATCAAGAGCGTGCGGGCGGACCGGATACGGCCGATGCGGCTGCAGGACTTCCGGGAGGCGCTGGCGGTGATACGGCCGAGCCTCAGCCGGGAGCACCTGCGGGCGTTTGAGGAGTTCACGAGGGACTATGGCACCGTGTAACCTGCAGCGCCGCTGGGGCCGCTGCTCGGAGAGGAGACAGAGTGAGCGGGGAGGCGGGCAGGGAGGAGTGTTGCAGGGAGGAGGAGAGCTGTGGTTGGCCAGTGCCACATTGCGCGGAGCGAATGGATGCAAGCGGGCTTGAATCGCAAGCAGACGTGTGTGAATGCTAAATCCGTTGCACAAACCAGCGCATCTTCGTGCTAACGAATGATGTTTTGCGCAGTCCACGAGGCACCGCAAGTCAACAGACCCTCAAAATTCGCGAGCGATCAGTTCTTTGGAGTGCTCGATCATGATTGATTTGTTGTTTTTATCCCCAATTGCTCAGACCCCTCGCCAACATAAACATTGAGACGGTTTTCTCTCGTCCAACACATTTTCCCCTCCTTCCCGAGCCAGTCGCAGCTTCAACGCAACTCTTTTGCCTGATCCACACCCCGTTAAGCACTTACGCGCAGCTGTCAGTCGCGGCAGCGACTTTGCGCAGCGCGTCGGGCCCCGCTGCTGCGGGAGCCCTCGCCATGCCCACGAGCGCCGCGCCTCTCTGTGGCGCCTGCAGCGGCGGCGGCGCCATGGCGGAGGGATCAGGAGACTTGGCTCTGCCGCCCATCAGCCCAAAGGGCGGCGCGGGCGACGAAGGGTCATCTGGACGCAGCAGCATCCTCGGGCGGCTCTTTGGTGCGCGAATCGCCTGCGCTCGCGCGACGCTCTGAACCGCGGCCGCGCTCGACATACACGCCGCCGCGCGCGCACCACAGGTGTTCGTAGGCTATGGACCCCTTGCACTGCTCGGCGTTCCCCCCAGCCCTGCATCCACACAGCTGCGAGCACTGCGCGCACCCGATCCATGCCCTTTCATTTTCCAAATCCGCAACCTCTCGCTGCGACGCGCCCCCCATACCCCAGGCAAGGGCCGCTCGAGCAAGTCCGGTTCCGGAAGTGCGGGCGCCCTCTCGACTGCCAAGAGCGCCCCCTTAACCCCCAGGGCCGGCGAGCCGCTGCCGCAGCCGCCAGGGGCCGTCCTCAAAGTGCCCGGCGGCGGCGCCGGCGGCGCGCCGAGCGCGCTCAAGCCGACGATGGCGTCGATTGCCAAGGCACAGGCCAAGGCGGCCGCGGGTGCGTGCTGCAGCGGGGCAACACGCGTGTTGACGCCAAAGCCTGGCCTGGATATTGGATGTTGAGCAATGTGTATGCACGTCTTGGAACCTTGCCGACATCACATACAGCTTGCAACACGCGTACCCACTGACATGCAACTGGCGTCGCCTTCATCGCAGGTGACACCATCCCCGCCGCCACCTCTGGCCGCGCCAAATCCCTGACGCCCCTGCTGGGAACCCTGTCGCCCGGCTCAAGTGGCAGCCTGCAAAAGTCGTCCAGCATCCCTCGCGCCCCCTCGGCCGGGGCGCACTCCGCGTCCGCGATCGCCGCCGCCGCCGCCGGCGCGGCCGCGGCCGCGG